CCTCTAAGCCTTCTCTTCTCCAGACTAAACAGCCCCAGCTCCCTCAGCCTCTCCTCATAGGACTTGTGCTCAAGTCCCTTCACCAGCCTCGTTGCTCTTCTCTGGACCCGCTCCAGCCCCTCAATATCCTTCCTGAACTGAGGGGCCCAGAGCTGAACACAATACTCAAGGTGTGGCCTCACCAACGCAGAGTACAGGGGAAGGATCCCTTCCCTGCTCCTGCTGGCCACACTGTTCTTGATGCAGGCCAGGATGCCATTGGCCTTCTTGGCCACCTGGGCACACTGCTGGCTCATGTTCAGCTTCCTGTCGATCAGCACCCCCAGGTCCCTTTCTGCCTGGCTGCTCTCCAGCCACTCTGTGCCCAGCCTGTAGCGCTGCAGGGGGTTGTTGTGGCCAAAGTGCAGGACCCGGCATTTGGCCTTGTTGAACTAATTTTCTAATGTTTAGTTACCTAATAAAGTATCTGGATGAAATTTTTGAACAGGCTGCTAGCAGTAAGGTTCTCACATGAGTAAACTTAAGCATTAATTTCTTTTAAAATTTAGACTGATATATTCAGTTAAAATGAACTCTCAATTGCTAGTAATTTGGTAATATATTCTTTCATTTTCTTGCTTGTGTGCCAGTTATCTGGCATTTACAGTTTTTGTTGAGATGTACTGAACTAGAAAAATTCTACTGCCTTTTTTCTAAAGAAAAGGACAGATAATTTAATAGAAATCAAGTTTGTTCATGGTGAGGGTACTTCATTGTATTTTTGTCTTTTAGAGAAATATTATGCAATATGGGAAAATTATGTTCCATATATTCTGAGGTTCACAGTCTCCTTAAATAATGTGATATTACACTATTTTTTCTCTTAGATGAGACCAATTTGTGTAAAATGTTGATGAATCAGATTTTTTTTCTTTAGGAGATAGGACAGCAGAGTCTGGGAGACAGAAAGCATTCTTAACTGACTTTGTCCCAAACTAAACAATGATGATTGGGAAAGTAAGGACAGGTACAGGGGTTTTGAGTGATAAATGTTACTGCCTGACAGCTCCGCTGCCTACATTTAGTGAAAAGCACAAAGCACATATGAGGAAGTCTCTTTGGCTATGCTGAGATAATGCTTTTGGCACAGGACATATGATCAGCAATGTTAAAGCACATTATTTGCTATCTGAAGAGTTAACCACTCTTGAGTAACATTGAATGACAAATACAGTCTTTTGCTGAAAGTATTTTGATGTCAGAGATGTATAAGGAGCGTTAGAATACATAGTTACTGTAGAGTTTATTTAAAAAACTGTTTAATATATTTTAATTTTCTCTTACAGAGTATTAATATTAGGAGCTTCAGGAGGAGTTGGTACATTTGCTGTACAGGTAATATAAAGCAGCATGCCCAGGATGCATCTTCAAACAATTAAGTATGGAGAAAAAAAAAAAGTATCAGAAGGGAATTGAGAGAAGGAGTGGAAAAATATCAAGCTACTGATTAATCTGTCTGATCAAGCTGATTAATATTTCGGAAAGTGAAATATTTTCAGATTTATTGCTTTCCATCTGTTACACTGTATTAGTTTGAAGTAGGAAGCAGGGACTTTCGGAGAAAGGAATTGTGTCTAACATTGCATTTCACAATTTGGGTGCAGAAAATCTCTGATTGTTGTAACTTGAAATATGTAGCCTGTTCTTATTACCTTTCACTCAGCTCTGCTCTATAAATACAAACAGAACTTGGTGTATGAGTAAAAAAACTGATGGAGTATCATCTACCATAACTTATAGTTAGTCAAATGATGTGGGAGGCCACCAGGCTTTTATATGCAGTGTATCTAGAGTGCTGTGGCTTAGATTAACTTTCCCTCACTGTCTTTGCCCTGCTGTCCTTTTGTCTGCCTATTCCAGTAGCTCTAAAGTTTGGAGAGTCAACATGTTCTTTTGTTGATCCATTAGTTGTAGAACATCCTCTTTTCATGCTCTGAGTTAATTTGGTTATTTTGATTCTAATCACTGTCGTCTCATGCTGAAACATCTTTCTCTCAAGCACATGAAAAAAAACCACAGTAGTTGGGTGATTGCATCACTGTGTTCCATGGTACTAGGCCATAAACTCAGTGGTTTTTAAGAGGCTTTCAGGAGAAGTTTTTGTGGTATGTTGTTTGCCTCATCCATGATAAAAGCAGGTGAATACCTTCAGTACAAAAGGTTGACCAGCCACTGACTAGTTACAATTTGTAACTGATTAATCCTGGTTAAACTACATTAATAATCTGGAATTAAGGTAAAAAATATTAGTGTGAATGAAAAAATGAAATGCCAAAAGAAAGAAATAACTTTACTTTGCTTTAGCTTTTGGAGTGTAAGATAACCTGATGTTGTCCCTGTGGTAAATCAGAGATGACTTCCTTCTTTTTCTTGTTTTTGTATTTAACCTCTTTCTTGTTTTTTGTATTTAACCTATTTACAGCAAGATAGATATATGAAATACTTAAAGGGCATATTTAAAAATATTCAGTGGTTGATCTGGTGACAGTTTTGTAGATTTGCAACTTGGACAGTACCTCTTAGTGTACATTTAGCTGGCAGATTCAGATGGCAAACTGAATATTTCATTTGGAGCCTTATTTGTTGTGAGACCTGGTACCTTTAAGTGGCATTAAAAAATCCACCCTTTTTCCTTCATACCAACTTCTCCCTTCCCAAACCCACCTTTAAGTCTAGTCATTATTTTGTCTGTGGGATGTGGGACAGATTATCCCGTACTGGAACACAGTCTCCCACTCCCTATTAAAGGTCCTCATTTGTTATATAAATATAATGAGACTTTGGCTTTTTAAGTTGTTCTCAATGTTTCACAAAATTTTAATCTTTGGACTTCTCCTTTTTTTCATACTTGTTTTTAGCTAGTGAAGGCCTGGGGTGCTCACGTGACAGCTGTTTGTTCTCATGATGCCAGCACCCTGGTGAAAAAGCTTGGAGCGGATGATGTGATTGATTACAAATCTGGAAATCTGGAAGAGCAGCTTAAAGCATTACCCTTGTACGTGTTTGTGTTACTTAATACTGAGATGAAGGAGTTAGTGGTCAGACCGTCTGTCTTTTGATTGCTTGACTCCAGTCTGTCAGAACTCCCTCATTTTTATTTTTCTTTTCCCATTTCTAAAGCATTATTTTGTAAAGCAAATTCACCACAACCCTTTGTGAATGCAATTTGCCAAGTGAGTATCCCCAGCACAGATTTCATTGTAAGACTAAGCCAGTTAATTGGGCTTGTGGTGGCAAGCTCATTTCCACGTGCTTCTCTTCAATGACTGTGATTTGAACAGTTTTGTCAGCTTCCATCCAAGGATCTTGGAGCATATGCAATGCATGAATAAATTAAAAAAGGTTTCCAAAATCCTGTGTGAGGTTGGTAAATAGTAAAATTGATCTTGTAGAGAAATGTGTTGTGAAGCAGTGAATTGACTTGCCATTGTACAGCTCAATTGGGAGTAAATTTCTCTTCTTTAACATTGGGTACAGCTGCCTCTGATATACAATTACACTTATCTTGTCACAGCAATTATGTTTAAACTAACTTGGGAATTTTTTCTAGAACAGAAGTATTTTTTGCTTTTGTAATTTTTCCATCTATTTAAAATTAGTCTACTGTGACTTGTATTTGAATGTGGTATTTATACTGCTCTTTTTAGGTAGACTGAGGTAACTTTCTGGGAGGGGAAATAGAAGCTGCTCAATCTCTGAAAGAATTTTACTGATAACTCTGCTAAGAAGCCATGTGCCCTTCCACTGCAGTGTGATTGTCAGCAGGCCTGAGGGTAACTGTGAGGGTACTGACACTGTATGGGGCAGGACATGCAGCAACTGACTTCGCAGTTTGCAATCAGTGCTAAATTTGCCTTTTTGCCATTCAACACTTCAATGCTAAACACTCATTCTAGCAAGTGACCCTTGTTAAGAGATATCAACAGCAGTGTCCTAGGGTGCAGTTTTATGATACAACTAGGCTGATCAGTCAGCTGTACTGAGAGGGATGTTCCTACTTCCCTCCCCTTCTCAGTTGTACTGACTCTTCAGAACCCATAGTGAACTACTCTTTAGAGGAGCATTAGTTTTCATTATCTGTTCCTGTTAGCAGCTGTTACATTGACTAAACTCTAAACATGAAATCACATCCTTGGAAGATGAGGCAGGAAAACTGCCGTTCCAGACATAGGAACTTCTCTATTTACTTTGCATATTTTCCCCTCTTATTTGTGGGTTATTTGGATTAGAGGTATGCATTTGTACATACCTATTGCCATATGGAGATTGCCGAAAGTTTACAGATGAAAATGACAATGAGTGATGCGTCTAACAGAACAGGTGCATAGCTCCCTGTTGCCCCGTTCAGCCTTTACAGGCTGACATGCTGGCATAATGAGAAGAAACACTGAACTTGGCTTTTTGCCTGAGGCTGCGTATACCCATTCCATGGGGGTGAAGGTTTTAGACCCATTGCATTGTTAGGTTCAACAACGTTAAATAGGTAGATGTGAACAAAAGAGCTGCCAGGAGAGGTAAAATGGCCCCCAAACAAATAAGGAGGTTAAAAAAAACACTTTTAGAAGTGAAGCTGAGAATTGGGTCACAGCTGAGAACTGGGTGACGAGATAAGGGTTAGTAGAATAATTAGTTTATGTAATTTTAGCCACTGGAACTGACTTTCACGTGAGTACACATGATGTACAAGAGATGTTCCTAGTGAGGGTATGAGCCCACACTAGTTTTTTCATGCACATACCATATTGCTCAGTGCTCAGACCTCAAGGGTGTTCCAGTAGCCCTTGTGGGAGGGCTGAAGAGATAGAGCTCTAGAAGGCTTTAAGCAAGTAGAGAGTGTAGTTGTGCATCTATATCTGCTTTTTGGAGTTTAAGTGCAGTTTAAGTTATTTAAATAGTCTGTATTTGCTGCATGTGGATGGGCAATAGTAAGTTTAAATCCCATTGTACACTAAAGCGGGGATTTAGCTGAAGTCTTGGGACTTTCTTGCTACTGTCTTGCAGACTGATTATTTTTTTGCATTGCAGTGACACATAAAAATGTGAAGTGTAGCAAATTTCTGCTATTAATTAGCTTAATTATGGTGAAATTATTTTTTCCATATCATAACTTTAAACCTGTTCTTTATGTCTGCAGATTTGATTTTATCCTAGATAATGTTGGTGGATCCACTGAGAAGTGGGCATTAGATCTCTTGAAGAAGTGGTCAGGAGCAACATATGTTACCTTAGTGACACCTTTCCTGATCAATATGGACAAGCTTGGAGTGGCTGATGGCATGCTACAAACAGGAGTCACTGTTGGTTCCAAAACTCTAAAGGTATTTGACAAAATCCTATATACTTTCATATTTTGTAGTACTCTAGGAGCTTGTTTTGTGGCTTGGATGCTAGTCTTGTGGCTCATGTAGAGGCAGCTGGTGCATTGTCCTCATATGTCATTAAGTATACTTGAGATGCACTATTATTCTTTCCTTCTTGCTTGCACTGAAAAGAACTGTGGTGGGCTGGTGCTGTTGGGTGTGTGTGGTAGTCTGGGGAGCTTTGAAGTTTTGATTCCTTATTGTGCTTTCCACTGTGGCCTTTTCCATATGGCCTCCCTAGTGAGTCCTGCTGACAGCCAGTGTTTCATAGTAAACAGAGCAAATCTCTGCCTCACTGAAATGAGGGCAGTTTTGCTACTTGCTTTGGGCTGGTCAGGCTTTCTCTCAAAACATTGCTCCATGACTAATTCTCTTCATCCTTTTCCAGCACCAGAGAGAAATAAAAGTGGTTGAGGGTGGCTAGGAAGTCTTTCATCTCTTTCATGTTCATGTGTTTGGATGGTGATACTGATTTTTCTAGTTTTCATAAGTGGATCTTAAAACATTCTGCCAGTGGGGCATTCTGATCAGTGAGGCTTTTTAGAACTTTTTCTTCTCTCCACTTGTGTACTTGCTCTGCAGATGAATGCTTCTCAAGCAGTTGCTATGGTATTCCTGGGATGACTTGGCTTAATGAGATTCTAAGTCCTGCACAAATACTTTCACAGTAAAGCCCAAAAACAAAATAAAAAGGCATTGAAGAAATACTGTAATATATTTCTCAGTGTGCATATTTCAGTGATGAGGAGGATTCTATGCTGTGTATTAAAAATCATCTCTCTTTAGCAGATGATGGCTCTTATTTATTAATGACTAATTACAGAAGAGGTGCTCTTGACTTGTGCTTCTGAGATATTCCCAAAATGTTTTTCATGTGAGCTGCCACCTGTCATTGGGCAGTGATGATTTTGGCAGATATGATAGTGGAAAAATATAATCACTAGCACTGAAGTGGAAGGTCCTAATGCCACATTGCTGGGATTATTTCACCCCCTTTGTGAGTGTGCATAAACATATAGCACCATTTCTTTCTTATGTAACACATAATGCTGTTTCTAGTTGTAGAGACTAGGTAGTTGTTTTTCTTTACTAGCTGACTTGTGCAGCTGGACACAAGATTTGTCCTGTTCCTGTAGTGGTAACAAAACATCCCAGTCTGTACATTTAATCCACATGCTTAGGTGACCTTTTTTTCAGACATTAACAAATTTCCATGTCTTTTCCTTAAGTTACATCTCTAGAGATTCTGTCATTAATTTTAGTTCCCATTTCAGTTGGCTCTCATGATTTGTTAATATATTTGTGATCTTTCTTGCAGCATCTTCTTAAAGGAGTCCATTATCGGTGGGCATTTTTCATGCCAAGTGGCCCAAGTTTGGATGAAATAGCAGAACTAGTTGATTCTGGAAAGGTATGTCAGTAATGGTTATTTGGGTATTTATGCTGAAAGAGGTGCTGCTTGGGCTCTGAAATGATGTAGTTCACTATTGGGGAATAAAATTTTATGAGACTCACAGTGATGAAAACTGGTTAAGAATCGACTTGTTGCAATTTCTAACTTTTGTCTTTTGCATCAAATTTAGGAGTTCATAATCCTTAAGACTGTTCTGCCTTCTCCATTCGAGCGTATGTTTTCAAAAACACAAAGCTTACAAAATTATAAGGAAGTAATGTCCAGTGAATGTTTATTTTGGCCAGTGGGTATCATTTAACATGAACTCTGTCTGGTATTGAAAATTAAGTTTTAGGAGGTCTCATTTGGTTCATTTGGTCAGAATAAATATGACTGTGTACCTGCATATGCAGAACTGCTTAGCCTGGATGGTTGGGCATCCTGCCCGTTGTGTGCACAGAACTAGAATATTCTGGTTATTGCAAGTCATAGATGATCTGCATTGGTAGAGTGGTGACAAAAATCTTATGTTTCCTTATTTCAGTCCTTCAGAGCATGAGGTTTGTGCTAATTCAGCACAATGACTCGGAATATTGTGAGCATTCATGAGCTTCCAGGGAATTCTAGTGGACTTAGGGGAAAAGCACAAAGTGCCAGATAGATTATGGTCTGCTTTTGTGGCCTTTTCAGCTTGTTGCAAAATGTATGTGGGATTGTGTGGTGCTGTAGATTCTGGCAGTGTCCTCTTTGGGAATTTCGGCAACGTGAAATTATCCAAGAATAGAGAATATGGACAACTGCTGTTAATCTTTCTATGCAGTACCTAAGCAGAAGAGTGAGCAGAGTCTGCCATGACTGCTGGTAATTCCAATCTGTGAACTGCCAGGACATCTTGTGCTCAAAATTTGTCAATATTAGTAAAATTTAGATCTCTCAAAGTTTTGAGTGTTGATCCCTCTTTTTTTTCAATATGCAATATGTTCCAGAGTTTGGAGAAGAGGAAAGAAACTGCTGTTGTACTTTAGACCTGATTGCTTCTATTTGCCACCTTAGTGCTGTTACTGCTAAGAATAAAAACCTTCCTGAATTCAGCCACTTCTCTTCCTCTGTCATGAACAGTGTACTGTTGAAACGGCGAGTGGAAAGTCACTATTTCCTAAAAACTTACTACTCATAAACAGAGGCCGCAGCAACAAATAAGCTGTGGGGAAGTATGTTCCCAGCTACAGCTTTGCAGCTCTCTGCTTTGCATTGTGTCCAATGCTGTAGGCATTATCCTATGGCCAAGAAAGAAACCATAGAAGATGATTCTCATGCTGTGATTGCACTCAGTCACACTAAGAGAAAGAAATGCCCTTGTCTTTGTTCTTACCATTTGTCCTGATTCTCAGCTCAGTCACAACTTGTTTTGTGTTCTGCTTTTGCCTTGTATGCAAAACAAATGCAGAATATGCCCATGAAAGCCTCTTGGGAAACACCTGTTTATGCAATAGAGATAGGGCTTAATCGGTGTTCTCTGCCTAATAACCTGGACAGGTGAATTGCAATCCCACTTAAAATGTTCGTCATACATATATGAATGTCCTGATGTACTTTTGGTTGTAAGATGATCGTGAGGACAAAGATGTTTTCTTGGTCTTTCATTCTCTGTGCAAAAACAGGTCCTAATGTCAGACTGTTTGTTTGCAGAGTCATTATTCTAGCAGCATTTTACTCTATTTTGTACAATGTTGTAAACAGCTGTGCTATCATCAGTATTTTGTAAGACCCATATGCGTTCCATTTAGACAGATATTAATAAGACTATGACCTTTATTGTCTAGACACAAGAGTTCTCTTAAATGGACAGACCATCCATTCAGAAGAGTAGGTGTTTGGAAAAAAAGGCAGGAGAGAATTACTGGGGGAATTGTACCACAATTTCCTATAAGTAAGTGAAAATAAATGTTTATGTTTGAATAGGAGAGAATAAATGAAAATTAGAAAGACGTAAAGCAATGAAGTGTATCGAGAAGGTCTGGGGCAGCCAGCAAGTTCAGTTCTGTAGTTGAACCTGTTAGTTTTAAGTGTACAGTTTTGCGTAACCCAGATTTTAGTTATTTTGACATTTCAGTCTTTTCTGTTACAGACATCTTAATTTTGAGATTGTATGAAGTGTGAATAAGAGAGCAATTGCAAAGCTCCTGAAAATGAGAGGCTTTTTTTCAGGAATAAAGGATGAGGGGGGGATTTAAATGAAGAAAATTTAAATCTGATGAAATCAGGGCTGATGGTCTAAAGAGATGATATTACAGTAAGTGAAGCATTGAAGAGCATGCCTCTGAAACAGTTACAGATCATACTGATTTGACAATGTTTTTTCTTATAGTCCATCTGCACCAACACAGATTTTTAGTTCTGGTAAGTTTATCCTTTGTGAAAGCAAAAGAATTCTCAATCCTTCAGTGGATGAAGAATAAGTAATTTTGTTTAAAGTGACTTGGTTTTCATATGGATGATCTTTGCAGCAAGGAATAGAGATTTGCAAAATGTCAGCTCTGAGTTCTTTTAACCTTTTTTAACGGGGAGGAGAAGGAGAGGATTTGATGAACTGGTAGCGCGAAGGAGGAGAATAATCTTCCTTGTGTAATTTACCTGCACATCAGCTCAGTTCTGGAAATTATAAAATCATTTTCAGTTTACGAGCTGTTTTCTCTGCCTTACAGCTGGACATCTTGCAGAGACTGAGGGGCTGGGAGATTCCTGCAACAGTAGTGGGCGTGGAGAAAACCAAGTGTTATTTCCTTGACAAATTTAGAGATACTGGCTGCTTCATAAATTGCTGGGAAATCCCTGTTATGGTTTGAAACTGCAGCAATTATGACCCAGTAAGGACTGGCTTAATGTGGGCTCCACCAGGGCATGTCAGAAGCTACTGTATCTCTTTCCACGGCAGATGTTCCTCATGAATTACAAGGTTCTCATCTAAAGAAAACTGAAATCAACAGAGGCTTTAATTCAGGATACAGGTCTGCTGGCACACTGTTTGCTGAAGCATTGTCACTGAAAAGCTTGTTAGGAATTAATTTGATGTATTTGTGGCCAGTGTTGTGGATTTAACATTGACAGTCTTGGTTTTTGCTGCTTGCCTAACAGTTTCCTCCTAAGGACATGTCCTTGGTGAAAACAGACCGAATTTGTGTAACTACTCGGGTTGGAGAAAGCCTCTAACTTACAACTGAGCACTTACTTTGCCTTTTATAAAAGCCTGATGGAAGAAGGCAGTCTCAGAAGACTCCTTAGTAAGGGGGAGTACTAAGTATGTTGTATGTTCCTGCCAGGACCATGATAGGATGTGGGTTAACATGCAGACCTACAGAAATGTGACGTTTTCATTTTAATTCATTGCTATTTAAATGCAGTACAAGTGTGCGTGCAGTGTTTCTGGTGACTTAATACTCCTTCCTTCAGGGTGTAGTTGCATCAGATGGGCTGGTGGATGAAATTTGTTTTTGCAGAAGGAAGGCTAAAGGGCAAATAGTCTCCAATCATGAAATTAACAGACCATTCTCTGTGATGTTTGCTTTCTACATAAATGTTCCAGCACAGGCACCAATAGGAAAAACAACTGCATGCCTATATTAATTTAATTCGTGAGTAGTGTTGATTATACATTCTGCTGAAGACACTAGATGCTTTGGACTTAGCACCTGTTGTTGTGGTTTGGAGGACAGATATTGACTGTTCTTTGGCCTTGCTGCTGTCTGCTTGTGCAGTGCTGAACAAATCAAATAACCTTTTGCTACTATTATTTCTCCATCTACTAATGAGGGCTAGTGCCCTTTATCCACCTGTCATGATTTGCTCTGAGATACCCTGTTAAAATGTGGAATTCAGGTGTTTTCTATTGCTGGTCCTTGCTATTCAGGAAGTAAATAACACAAATGGATACAGTCATCCACTTTGACATTACGTGGGTTTTGAAGTTGTTTGGATGGCTATGATTTTAGATGGCTTACATTCCTCCTGCTACTGTGCATTATCACAGCTTCTGGACTCTGTATCCTAACCTGTGTGTATTAATTTGCTTCCAATTCATCTTGTTACAGTTCTGCAAGTAGCTTATTCCCTGGCCCTTATTGCACAATTGTTGCAATGTCTCCCATCTGTATGAATATTAAACAGTGAATTTAACATTGAGTCCTTGAACGTTCTCCAAACCCGACATCTATAGATGTGGCCTTCTCTGCAGTAATTCCAGTCTTTATGGCTGTGCTACGATATCTTAAGGTACCTGTGGTGACTCGCTCTTGGGTGGTGCCTGCTTTACGCTCTCTTAGAAAAGGCACTAGGATGCCTAAATATGGGGATTCTACATTTAAATGTCGACATTAGCTAGAAATCAGTCTTTCTTCCCCACTCTCTTTAGTCACTCACACTTGTTTTGAGGACTATATTTCTCCAGCCTAAATTGCAAAGCTTGCACCTTTTTTTTTTTTTTTTAATTTTGTTTTCTGGTTGCAGTGCATTTGCTTGCCAGGTTGGTTGGCTAAAGCCAGAGATGTTGATCAAGGAAAGGTTGCCAAAAGCTCTGTTCAGCCCCAGCCCTTTCTCTTCCAAAAAAAACCCTCTCTCTGCATTTTGTCACCACCACCAAAGAAAAGCCACTGTGATTTTTATTAAAAAATCTGCTCCTGTTCCTCCAGGACATGGTAGCTTATGTTCTGTATGAAGGTGCTGTTTGGTTACATCATAAAGTGTCTGTGAAGAGCACCAGTGGAAATTTTGCATACTCTGGGGGGATAGGGCTTGAATATGTGAATTGACATACACCACAGTGAGGTCTTGAAAAATTTCATCATCTACCAGGAATTTAATCAAATGTTCCCTCAACCTGATGTAATTGTGTATTCTGTAGAAAGTCAGTCCTGGTGTTCGGAGCTCTAGTCCCCTAGTGAAGGAGGGAATTGTGTCTAGCACAGCGGTGAAGTGTGGGGTCAACAAAACAGCTCTTGTCTGTTGTGAGTTTAATTTGGTGAGATCCGAGGAGATGGAGATCATGCCAGACTATTGTTATCATCTCTCTATATATATGATATGCTTTCATATGTAAATATGTATTTTTATTTATATTTATATGTAACTGTGCTAAAGTTTGTTCTAGTTATATGGTGACATTGCCCCAGATTGCTTTAATTACCAGCATAAATATCAGGACAACTTCCATGAATGTGACTGACAAGGGATTCCAGAAGAGAGAGCTGCTCTTTTCTTAACATTTTTTCAGCGTGGCCTAGTAGGTAACTAAACCCCCCAGGATCTTCCTCATCTCTACTGATTTAAGCTTGGGCTAGGCTGGCACACACTGCAGTTCTGAACTTGTTCCAGTTTCTTACTACTCTGCATTGTGTTCTGTAGAAGCTGTTCTGCCAGGGCTAATTAACGAGATAGAGATTTTTGAAGCCTTTTCCACACTCTGAACTGTACCCTGATAGCCTGCTTAACTGGGATTAATCTTCTAGCATTTTAATAATTCTAGATGATACTCATGAGTTCCTGTGGGCTGCTGTTAGATATTGGATATGAAAGAAGGTACCTTGGCTTAATAACCAAACAAACAAAACCTGGCAATACAGTTGTTGGTAAGATAGCTCTGGGAGTAGACTCCAGGACACTTGCCTTCCATTCTCATGTCTTAACCACTGCAGCACCATTTTTCTTATGGATGTATCATTGGATCATTTTTACTTCTGTTAGGCAGTTCAGACAGAAATATCACATACCTGATGTCCTTTAATGTGCTTGTGGATGAAAGTGCATATTGTCTGAAATACAAGTTAATAAAAAACATAGCAAGGAAAAAGTTTTTATGAAACATTTAAAAACGGGGCTCCAAGCAACCTGGTCTAGTGGAAGGTATCCCTGCCTACAGGAGTGTGGCCTTTAAAGGTCCAACCCAAGCCATTCTATGATTCTATGCTAGTACTGTGCAGTTACAAAGCTACCCATACATGTGACCAGAGCCAGCTGTTCCAGATGGGAAGAACTTTAATCTTTGTCTTCAGTGAGGGCTGATCCTAGAACCTACTGTCAGCAAGCAATATGAAGCTCAGCATATGTTGTTGCATGACATTTTAAGGGGAAGGAAGGATGAAGAAAGGGGTGGGATTAAAACCCAGTGATCATGGAACTGAAGTACAGCAGAGAAGATGCTCAGTTAAAGGGAAGAAATAACAGCAGTGTTCCAAAGCAACATTTTCTCTTCAATGGGATGAGTAACAAATGGATAACTAATTGATTAGTTCCAGGAAAAGGACTGTTCTTTCTAATGATTTCTGTTCAAGCTTCTTGTTAACATTGATGGGAGACTCCCTGAAGGCCCAAGGAGACTATCAGGCTCTGCATTTTTGCTCATACACCAGATTTGGCACAGTGGTAATTTCTGGAGGAAGGCAACCTTTATCTTTTAACTCAGAACAGCAAGCAGGTCTTTTCCATTACAGCAAGCCTGATGTCTGGTGGAGCACATGACAGCTTTTGTTCTGTGCACGTGCAAGTATCTTTCCCAAAGAGTACCTTTCCTAAAGAGCAATGTGCCACAGGAGGCAGCAGCTGGGAGGGAGGCACTTCCCAAGCAAGGCTGCCTGGGAGCTCTGACACAGCCAACCTTTGCAGACCTGGGGGAGAGCCAGTGCACTGTCACTGTCCTTTGAGTGAGGGCACTTTTTTTCTTTTGTGCTTTGAACTAGGCTTGCTCTCAGTTCGTTTCTCTCCTGAGATTTTCGAGGCTCTTGCTCTCCCTCCAGCGGCACGAAGCAGCTCCACACTCAGCGGAGCGACTTCCTGCTGCTATGAGGGTCAAAGCCATCTTCATTCCTGTCATGTTTTCTCCCTTGTCCCCTCCTGATAAATTCAGACTGTGTCCTTGCTACCACAGAAACTGGGACCTCCAAGGGTGGGCCTGAATTTGCCATAAGTGGAGAGTGTATTCCTGCTGACCAGTCAACTCCTGCCAGTGCCTGTACACTGCCTGCCTGCTTTCAGGGCTGGAATGGCTGGGATATCACCTCTGTGCTGTATTTAGGATAGCCTTAATCAGCATCAGCAATTACTCTTTTTATTTTTCCAAACACATGAGTTCATTTCAAGAGACCTGAGATTCATTTCTATAGTATGTCCTGTGTTGGAGAGAATGGAGAGGAAGAAAATACCTTTCAAAAATGTTTTCAGATAAACATTTCAATGCGGGTATGTGTAATCCTTTCTCTCCCAGACTTTAGTTTAATCCCTTTTCCCTGAACAAATAGGTGTCCTCTGGCAAGGAACTGATGCGTGGCTGTAAATAGGCAGTGTTTTTATTATCCAGTTAATCTCCATTTATTATCACACATTCAACAAACAGCAGACTCCCCTACTTGTTTGTCTGTTCACAGGAAGAAATTTTATCTTAGTCAGTGGATTATGGTAAAGGCTGAGTGAATCACTGTGCAGCAACACGGTCAGCCCTTTCAGGGTTATTCAAACAATGGGACTGACCAGCCAGCCAGATAAAATGTTTAATGCTCTAGATTGTCAGGATCATCAATTTAGTATTCATGTCTCTCTATAGCACTGCCTAAAGCCAGCATTTAAATGGAGCTAGAGGTTACATCAATGTAGCAGCTGGGCTTTGAGCATGTGGTGGCTGCAATACACACAGTGTTTTGAATTGTGAGGCCGAATTCAGGGTTCCTCTGAATCACTGTGTCACCACTTTTCAAATGCAGTAAACCTTACCCAACAGGCTGAGGATGCAACATACCTCATTCTGTCAGGGTTATAAGCTGCAACCTACAATAAGTGAGTGACTACAGGTAACACAACGATGAAGTACCTTGTTCGTGTTTTCTCAGTTGCTGCAGGTGTCTGAAATTAACTTCTGCCTTTCCCTGGAATCCCTTGCACTTCACATCCCTTTTGCTGCTGCATTGCTTTCATCCCCAAATACCCTTCCCCCCCTCCCTGCCTCTGGTCTTGTTGGGGTCATCTGTGTCCATGCTCCAGCAGGCTGAGTTTCTGCATCTTTTTTTTTTTTTCTCATTAATTGAAGCACAGATTTGTATGCAACTGCCATTAACAATAAGCACTGTACAAGGGCTGCACTTGTGCTTGGCTCAACAAGGTTCCTGAATTGTTTTTCCCAAGATTCTACTATGAAAGCCAGGACTGGTCTTCCTCAAAACAGTCACTACTGACCAGTAGCACGTTCCTCCTGCTGAGAGTCACAGCAGCTGCAGCTGCACCCAGATGCTCGATTTACCCAAAGCCATTGTCTAATCCAGTGTTTCTGCTGCCCCGGGTCAACGTCCCTGACTTTGCTCATGTCTCAGACAACCCTTCCATTCTGTGCTGGATGCTCAGCAGACATGAGTTTGTCTTGGAATACGATCATTTAAACCCCACATTTCTTCCTCAGTTGAGGTATCTCTGTGGCTCCTCTACCATATGTTACTACTCATTTTGCTAGGGGTTGGTTTACAGGGACTGTCCTGGCAGAACAAGGGGAAGAAATAGCCTGGTGCATGGCAAATTTGAGGCACTTGGTGAATATATTCATTTGAATGTTTGCTCTCATAGTGATTTGGCTGCTAATTCTGATGTATTTGTCGGGGGGGGGGGGGGGGGAGGTGTCACTTATTCCTGCTTTTCTGCCATGTAAAATTTCAGGCTACAGCTAAGCTTGTCTTGACAAAATAAAAAGGGAAATCTAGTGTTAAGATTACGAGATACTGCAGTGTAATAGTTACATTACTGATGTCTTGGACTACTGTTCTCCTATAAGCAAAATCAGTAATAATTTTAGTCCAAGGAATGAATGTCAAGGTAAGGCACCATCTGAATAAAGAGGAAAAATTAAGAGTTGAGAAAAGAACCTCCATGAGCATGGACAACTACCTGATTGCATTTGTTGTGCTGCTGGGCGGTCAGTGCCGCTGCTTGGAAAATGTGTGTAAGTGAAAACCTTTCCTTGGTGGTGCTGCAGGCTGACCTCCTAAGCAGCACGTCTGAACGTACAGCCCTTGTCTTGTGGTAAAAGCAAGCAAACCTTTTAAAAGACAGTGCTGTTCCAATGCTGGCAAATTGTTTGGGTCCTTATTGCTCTTGTATTCCATTTCCATCTAGCAAGATGCGTGTCCTGCCAGGACAGGGAAGTTATCAGTTCTGGAGTATTCAGCAAGATAGTGTGCATGTTTGTAGCTGTGATGAAAATGCCTGAAGGTATTTTTTCTCTGACACAACTATCAAGGGTGTATTTCTGGCACCATAAATAGTGTGTTTGGATCTTTGGTACTTCAAATCTTCATCACTGCAAGAACTAGCACGTTTTCCTCTAATAAGAGGATTAGGATCAGTTCAATCAGTGTAAGAACATGCATTGGGCTGGTGTAGGGGATCCAAGGTAAACAATCATTCTCAGGGTAGGTAGGATCTTTGGTAGGAGGTGTGGGAGGTATTTTTGTACACAGATCTCATTTTGTCCTTTGGAAGGCTGACTCAGAAATTGACAGTAGGAAGAAACCTCTTCCCTTGGACCAGCAGTGACGAGTATTTTTCAGAAGAGCTGGGATTTCTTCTGTACCTCTGTTAGTACACTTATGATGTCTAAAGAAAATGCTGATAGGGTTTTCAAGCTCCTTAGTTAATAATGGAGACAATGAGTAAGTAGCTTCACTGCTGTTGTTAGAAATGAGTCCAAGACAATCCAGAAGGCCACTCCACATAATTAATGCCAGAATAGCAGTTGATGCAAGCTGGGCATAATGATTTATGCCTACTGGAATACACAGTGGCTGAATTTTCAAGTGTAGCTAAATGATTCAGCAACAAATGTTTGTGGACAGTTTTTTGTACTTCATTTCTGGTCTTTTAAGGGTACTTAGGTATGTAATGATGCCAATAGGCACCAGATTTATAGGTACCTTTGAAATACTTGACCCTGTGAGAATTCCTGTGTTTAACAAGAAAAGCAAAGAGGAATATGAGAGAAAAAAAATGTTCTTTTTGTCAGTGTACCATTGTGAACAACAAAAAGTTTAACCAAGTGGCAGCTTTTGAAGAGACTTAAAAGAGCCTCGCATTTCGTGGTAGAATCCCAGGTAAGAGCTCTGAACTCTGCTAGTATTAGCTATTTCAAAACTTGAGCAAAGAGCAGCAGAAAGCCACCTTCTGTGTGCAGAGGTATCCCTGAGAAATGTTAAAAGCTAGTGACTACAAATATTTGGTAATTTCTGCACTAAATACTTAAAAGAAACTTCCCCCTTTTCTTCCTACAGTTTTGAAGTGTAAGGCCAATGCATTAGTTTATTCCTAATATAGTGACACTTTTTCTTTTTCTGTAGATTCAACCAGTTATTGATGAAGTCTTCTCTTTTTCTGAAGTTCCAAAGGCCTTTCTGAAACTGGAAGGAGGACATGCACGTGGGAAAACGGTGATCAATGTAATTAGTAGACAATAAAGTATCTCTAATCATTATTCTGCTTGCAGTCACAGTCCTTGAACATAAACTGGTATGTAGCAACTGTTTCTTCTTTAAAAGCTCGTACAGGATGCATAACTTATAAAAAAGTCTTGTTTTAGAAAAGCCACTGATTCTTTTATACACTACCTGTTAATAGGCAGACAAGATACACTAATGTCCCTTAGGCATTTCTATATGAAAACTATGTTAAGAGTGTAGTTGTGACTTTTGCAGAACACCCTTCACTCCTGGAATAAGAGGAACAGTCTGAAGCATTTTTGGATTGTAGCTTTTGGAGCTTTTATTTTTCAGATATTTTAGCTAAGTCTGGAAATGGTGAGGCACACTCTTACCTAATTGTCCATGTGAAACCTGTGTTGGTTTTTTTTTGGCCTTTCCTAGTTCTGTTCACCACTGTTAATATATATTATTAATCAGTCTAGTAGATTCTCAGAACTAAGTGGTCACATCACGGTCTCAAGACTTATAGTTTAATAGTTTAATATGGCAATTCTCTCCTGGCATAACTAATCCAAATAGAAGCAGGGAACAAAATCAATCTGTAACTGATAATTATCCTAACAGCCCAACTCCTGGCTCAGGTTCAGCTGACTGCAGTGTTTATGCAGGTAGGCTAGACATGATTTTGTCAGTAGCTGGAAGTGTTCCTGTCATGCCCTGTTATTCCTGGTGGGGATGAAGTGCTTGGGGGGGGGTGTGTCTGGTGGTCTGTTTATAAACTTGCTGTTTTGCCAGTGATGGGCGGTGGAGTAACTTCCCCTGCAATTATGCAGGTAAGACTGCAGGAAAGTGGCAACCTCTTAGTTGAGAGCAGCACATTTACTGCAGTGCAGCTACGGTGGCAGACAAACCATGTCAGGCAACACTTACACCAGAGGAGGAAAGAAGTGGCTGTGGTGTGAACTGTGGCCCCGTGCACAAATGGCACTGAACATGTGCTGGTATAGAAGAACTGTCCATTCCTCAAGAACCTCCGAATATTCCACACCATGTATTCTCTTATTTGGTAGCTGTCACAGAAGAATTATAGAGAGAAACAGGCACAAGATGGAACAGAACTACCCATAAAATGCCAGCTTTCTACTTTAAAAATAATTCCAATTAGAAGTTGCCTAACTTAAATTTATTTGTAAAATGCTATATTATATATAGCAAGAGCACATCAATATGACAAAGTACCACTGTTTGGAACCACTAACAACATATTTTCTACAAAGAACTATAAGCAGCACGTTTCAGAGCAACAAAACTTCAGTGCTTCTTTACAAAAGGAGGAAAATTAGTAAGGCACTTCCTCTAGGGTGGTAATGATAAAAGCACCAGTGTCCTTTGAGGGAATACGATAGTAACAAAAACGTTAAACAGACTTACTATGCAAGACAAAGGCCTGGATGCTCCTGGGAGCAGCTTGTAATAACACTGGTCTAAGCCAGAACAAAACACAGCAGCATAATACAAGGCTTCGTTTGTATTTTACCTTTTTGTCAATATTATTAAGGAAAACTAACACAACCAGGTTCAAAGCAGGGCAGCAGAAGGACCTCCTGCAGTCATCAGGACGTCCTACTTGTCACAAGCTCTTTACTAAACCAGTAACACTTACACTGAATGGGCACAGCCCTTGTGGCTGTGCCCATGTTCCAGGCTTGGCTATGCACCTTCCTAGAGCAGTCTGACACTTCTGTCCAACCAGGAGCCAGCAGCTGACCACAGACACTGCTCTCCAACACCACCAGAAATAGTGGGGAGTCTGGCATTCTCCACTGTAAGCCCAACAGGCTGAAAAACTCAGTAACCACAGCGCTTATGTGCTGTTGCAGTCTTCTTTAGTGATACTTTCCCTAAGAATTCTAGTTGTCTATATGATTTTGGAGTTCAGGAACACTGTATGTACTTACTGAAACTATTTTAAAAGGCACAAATTCGATTTGGCAAAGAAGAAAAATACCCATAACTCAGAAAAGTCAGGCAGCCTACAAAGTAGGCAAAAATTCTTCTGATTCTGATACATCCTTTTGCCAGCCCTTTTTCTAACGAACTCCTTTACATTGTCTACACATGAGAAAATCTAGAATTTTTTCTTAATTTAGGAGTTACTATATTAGCATACTAACTATACACCTGAAGCCACATGTTAAAAATTCTTTGGATGTGCTGTGGTAGCAGTCTTTCAGCTTTCAGTAAACATAAGTTTGTTCCAGTGAAATATATTAATTTTCTGTAGTGAATATTTCTCTATACTACAGCCCATAGATTCAAATTGCTATGCCCACATATACATTTGCACTCCTGTCCTTTATAAAATAAGCTTTAATATTTTTTAGCCCCTCTCTCAGTTAAAAAAAATCCTTTAAAAATAATTTAAAGTTACACTAATTGACTATTCTGGGTTAACTACTCACTGACAAAACTGTAAAACTCCATGGGATCTCTCCCACCTTTAGTTGTTCCATTCTAGCCCAAGGCATACTATCACTCTGTAGTCAACACTGAGTTGTGTTGATTAAAAAAAAAGAAGTTTAGATATGCTCAAGCTTTTGTAGGGATAATAATCTTGGATAGGGGGTGAAATAATTCTGTTGCTCTTCCTATTTAAAATTGTGAATAAAAACCAAAACTCTCATTGTTGATCCTGTATCCTTCAGAGATGGCAGTGCCAATTCCAGTGTCCAGAGTAGTGGCCAGTTGAAACATCATCCTTTGCTTCTTTGGGTTTATACAACTAGGGGTTCCCAACACTGTGTTAACTTTTCCTCGTTGACTGTGTTGACAACAACATGGTCGCAGTCATACTGTGTGCCTCCTGTAAAGAGAAATTTCAAAGAGGGTAGCTTGTCTTTGAAATTAGAGACAAATACTCTGTGTTTCAGAAAAAAAAATCTAGCAAGAGCTGGTGTAGAGAGTTTCTCTTCACCTCGAGGCACTGAGAAGACAGACGTGTTTTCATCACTGCCTGCTTTCGGAATTAATTTTGAAACAATTTTTTAATTAATCAAGATCAGTCTGCCTGATCCTCTCCACCCCTTCAGTAATTCAGTTCCTTGGCTTTTTCAGCCTGAGTGGGAAAGGAAAGAAACACTGCAATACAGCCAGGTGTAGCTCCTTTAAGACTGTCACTTCCCAAAAGTCACACTTGGCTGTTTAGTTTCCCCACAACAGTTGTCACTCTAAAAATGATGTTTACATGATGAAGTAAGTCCTGCTGCTAACAGACAATACATGTGTGATCACGTCAGCGACAAGGCCTACCACTCATTTACTCTTTGCCACTATAATCCTTTATTTGACCAGCTGCATGCACAGAGTATCACCCAACGTTCAGCTGTTTCCACCATCAGCGAAACTTATCTGAATGCAAAATAGAACCCTTTCTTAGAGGAGCTTAATTTAACTACGTGATGCAATGCTAAACATGTTCCCATAAGAAGAGCACCATTAATATTCTGACTTAAGAAACTCAGAAGCAAAGACACATTCAACTACAGCTGAAAGTCAGAACTGACATTTTCCCCTCAGATCTGCCATGTACTGCAGAAGCACAGGACATGTGCATCTTCTGTAGTACAACACACCTGCAGCAGCAGGTAATATTCCTGTTGGAAGCATCCATCTGAGCCAACCATTTTATACAAAGCATGCCAGGATACTCCCACAGACACTGTCTTTTGTTTTGCACACCAACTGCCTCACCCTCCCTGAATGAGCAAAAGACAAGCCTGGCAGCTGAAAGTTTACGGTGAGTAAGAAATATGGATTCTAGCAGACCTCATAAAGAAATATACTAAGCACCTGAAGTCCTGCATGGGCAGGCACATTCAAGAACAGCTGTTCTATACTAAGGAAATAGTGACTCAAGCTCAGCTGTTCTCCACTTCAGGTATTTGGGGGATGCTTTCTGGTGCCACTTTCCCAAATCAGGAGGGTCTCTGGGAAGGCTAACAAAGAGGATTTCTCTCCTTGCCACTACCAGGCAATTACTAAAAAGCAGTACAGATATACAACTTGCAAAATTCTTCAGAAAGGGAGGAAAAAGCCAATAACATAGGCTACATAGCTTAGTTATCACTGTGAGTGCAAAAATAATTTTAAGCAGTATCTGATAGAATGTAAACATGTTAAAATGGAAAAAGATGGGATTTTTTTTTTTTACAGTGGATAAAGAGACTCTGCTTTCTAAGGTGGTGCTCTGGACAAGGCTTTGTGCTACGCCAGTGTACCCACAAAGTGGCATTGGTAACTGTACAGTTGAACAACTGCATGAATTGGCTGAAGAATTCTGCTAACACTCAATTTGTGGTCCGGAATGGATCAGGAGAATTGGCAGAAACAGGTATTTTTCCTACTAGACTTTCTCCAATAAAAACTAAAAGTACCTACTTTTTTGAATTTACTGTACAGATTTTTTTTTTTTTTTTAAGCTGAGTGCCATCTGTACTTTCACCACCAGACCTATCCATTGTGAAGTTCTTCAAATACAAATGCAGAATACATTATTGCTTTTGACATGATTAACTGAAGAAAAGGCCATGCAATAGTGTTTCTGCTTGATTGGTGAAACTAACAACTGACTTTAGAAAAAGGTATGGCAGTCATGGTGATTAAAGGCTCTCCCTTTAGCTGGAGTCTTTTTAGATAAGTTTATAATTAATCATCACTAGCTTTTTATGGCAGTAAAGAGAATTTTTGACTATTTATGCCACTGCTGTACTCTGGTCAGACATCAGGTAACCCTTTTCTCGCAGTTCTGATAGTCCTACCCAGCTGAGGCAGGTGATTGTCCTGCTCTGCTCTGGTACAGCCTCACCTCGAGTCCTCTATGCAGTTTTGGGAGCCACAATATAAGGAGGATATAAAACTATTAGAGAGTGTCCAAAGGAGGGCCATGACGATGGTGAAGGGCCTTGAGGGGAAGCCGTAAGAGAAGTGGCTGAGGTCACTTGGGTCTGTTCAGCCTGGAGAAGAGGAGACTGAGGGGAGACCTCATTGC